TTATTTTAAATGAATGAATAAATGATAAAAACAAATGGAAAAAAACATGCAGCGCTGGGAGTGTTTCAGGGACACATTGGCTCAAACTTTTATTGTGCTTCATCTTGTGACTCATCATATTCTGTCAAGTGGAACATGTTAGATGTTCCAACCGCTAGTTAGAACGACTCTGTCACATTTTGCAGCACATTGACTGAAACCTGCAGTTTATCGGATCTTAGAAAGCCGAACCACTTCCAAACCAGCGAATTAGTCTTTCCTCTCTTATCAGTGATGTCATCTGCTTTCTCTTCGCTTGTGAAAGCTTGTTCAGTCACATTCTGACGATCATGGGCGCTCATTGTGAAGAGAAAACTTAACATGCGTTGGAGATTAGCCTAGCTTAGCCTGCTACCACTAACGCCTTCTGGACTTGAGCTCTGTGAAACATTACGTCACCACGCACTTATGTAGTTGTGTCGCACCTCGTTCTGTCCAGGTTGAAACTGAAGTGGCCGCTTCAACCCGAACAGAAAAACAAATGTGTCAGTGAAACGCTGTAATCCTATTGAAATATCGAAAATGTGCTTAAAACTCATATCATCGTTATTGAATAAAAGTATATCGCGAGATATAGATATCGAATTATTGTCCAGTTCTATTTAACAACCTGTTAAAATACACCAAAATGCAGGAAATGGCATCTCTTTTATTCCAAATTTTCTGGGGGAGGACACACGGACCCCCGTGCATAGAATCACCCCCGTGATTCTATGCTTCAAAAAGGTTCATTTTGACATCAGTACGAGGGAGAGTGACAGTCATGTTTAGCTTCTTCCATTTTCTAATAGTTGCTCCAACAGTTGATCTTTTTTCACCAAGTTGCTTGGTAATTGCCCTGTAGTCCTTTCCAGCCTTGTGGAGGTCTACAATTTAGTCTCTGGTGTCTTTGGACAGCTCTTTGGTCTTAGCCATGTTAGTAGTTGGAGTCTCACTGATTGTGTGGGGTGGACAGGTGTCTTTATGCAGCTAACGACCTCAAATAGGTGCTTCTAATTTAGAATAAGTGGAGGTGGACTTCTTAGAGGAGGACTAACAGGTTTTTGAGTGACAGAACTGTTACTGATTGGCAGATGTTCAAATACTTTTTTGCAGCAGTAACACAAATAAATTATTTTAAAAAAATCATACATTGTGATTTCCAGATTTTTTATTTTATTTTTTAGACTATGTCTCTCACAGTGGACATGCACGCAAGATGAAAAATTTAGACCCCTCCATGATTTCTAAGTGGGAGAACTTGCAAAGTCGCACAGTGTTCAAATACTTATTTTCCTCACTGTATGTATGTATGTATATAT